ACTGCTGTCTTGCAATGTGACAAAGGTTTTTTTTAAAAAGAAGGGAACAACTCTTCCACTTTCTCAGTCCCTTGAATTTACCTTTGTCTTGAGAGAAAACACTAAAAAAGCTGTTTCTCTAGCAGATCAACAATGGCATAATGAAGAGGAGGCACTGTGTGTGCATGCTTTTATTCCACGTGCCAAAGAATTTAAGCACCGAGTGCTGTCTTTCATTAGGAATGCACATTTATTTCATATTAGTGAATGCTTGAATGTTTATAGAAGATGCATAGCAGCAAACGCATGCCTTCCTATTCTGCAGCCAGCCACAATTCTTGGACGTCAGGTTGGAACTGGAGTCGGCTCACATGGGAGCTCATTTGGCAGACCAGCCTGCCACCGGGGAGCCTACTGAAAGCACACACAGCCAAGGCTCCAGCTACAACCAGCTCCACTCTCTTGTGAAACCAAAACCACACAGCTTTCGCTTTCTACGCTGTCTTTTTCTTACTTCAGTTGTTTCCATTGCATTCTGTGGGCTGTGGAGTCTGGTAACGTATCAAAAATGTGGTATGTAATTTAAAAACCACAGAGATTTCTGCAAGCATATGATGATCCCCCCCCCATTTTTTTTCTATTCCTGGGACTGTTTGTTTTGCAGATATGTGTATTTATAGAGACTAGAAAGATAAGCTTTCCTCATCCATCAATACAACTGTTTCATCAAAAAACACAACATATTGATTAATTCATTCTTAGCTGGTGTTTCAGATTCATGAGATTAAGGCTACGTTCACACTGCAGGTTTTAATGCTCAATTCAGATTTTTTGATCAAATCACACTACAAATAAAATGTGACAGGAAACACGCTCTAGTGTGAACCCTCAAAGCGGCCAAAAGAAGACTTCACACTCAACGCGCTCTGTTTAGACCCAGACCAAACAGTATTCTTTGACTGATGGCCGTTAATATAAAGACTTGCTTTGGACTTCACGTTTCCCAATTTTGCTTTAAGTTGTTTTGTTATTTACATGTGGCCTAATAATTATCCTTATTGCTGTTTTAGAGAGGAGCGGTACTTCAAAGGATAGTTGCAGATTTCTGTCAAAATCTGCAGATTATACAGTACAAATAAAACATTCACGTTTCTCCATCGTTGTCTTCCCAACAGTTTCACTGGATGGCCAGGAAGCGTTCGCGATGTCTTCTCCGGGGCTGATAATTGGCGTCTGTCTTGTGTCGGTGACGTAAAAGACGGATTTAATGCGACATGACCATTCAAACAGCAGTCGCTTTCTAAAACATCAGATATGTATCGGATTCAGTACCACATACGAAAGTGACCCAGATCGGATTTGAAAATATGGGATTTGTGCCGTTCACACTGTCATACCATGATCGGATAGATGGGTCGCAAAGGGTCAAAAAAGTGGGATTTGATGCGCTTTCGCCTGCAGTGTGAACGTAGCCTTAGACACAGAAATGTGTGTGTGTATGTGCAGGCCTTAATTTACATGTATAGTTGTTTAGAAGCACCATGTGATGATTCATGAAGTTTTCATGAGACAGCTTCTATAGCACTAGTAATCTATAGTGTCTGCATTTGTAGCATAGCTTCAGGGCTTGTTCCTACAGTTGCAGAATATACATTCTTATATTAAAACAAAACAAAACAAATGTCTGTAGTTTCCAGACCTGATTTTGGATACAGCATTATCAACAGGAGCCCTGTAATGGACTGATGACCTGTACAGGGTGTACCCCACCTCTTTCCCTTTATAGTTTTCTTTTTTACAGTACTTGTCGTTCGACTAAGTACCTACAGCACTAATAGAGTTTTCTTCTGTTGCACATTGGATGTAATAAAACCAGGGCAGAGCATTTCATGCAAGCTATGGGGATGAAAGAGTGTTTCTGGTCTTATTATACAAGATATAATAATAATGATAACTTGCTAATGTTCAGTATCATTGTAATCTTGGAAGAAAGTCAGTGGGGGGTTCTGACTTAATGCCTTTGTTAGTAAATGACATCAAACATGTATTTTGATCTTCTTTGATGTGACATTAGAAATGATGTTTGTTTCTTTATAAAAAAACATAAAGAGTTGTAAAGAAAGAAATACGAGATATCTTTCCCTACATATTTTAGTGATACTTGATAAAATAAAAACTTTTGAAGTGTCTCCGAGCTTTTGGAACCTGTATGTCATCACAGTTTTAATGGCCAAGGTAAGTAATGTATTTGATTGATTTAGAATTATGGTAATATGTCAGTCTTTCATTTTCTGAGCCAAGAACTGCATTAGTCAAATTAGGCTGAGACTCTCATCTGTTCTGAAAAAATTATCCTCAGTAATTCGTCTGAAAATAAGAGTGGTCAGATCAGTCAATAACTGATAAGAGGGGTACAAACAGAAAGTGCTAATAGCTTTTCATATGCAATTCAAATGCTTTAGTCCAGTTTAAATGCATTCAGTTAATATAAATTGATCACCAAAACACCAAATTATTGTGGACATATCCACAGAAATGTATTTTAAACATTTGGCAATTGTTATATTTTTTTACATGGCTTATAATTGTGCATTTAGAAATCTTTGGTTTGAATCATATCTGAAATGGTAAATGGCCTGTATTTGTATAGCGCTTTTTCTAGTCCCTAAGGACCCCAAAGCGCTTTACACAACCTGTCATCCACCCATTCACACACACATTCACACACTGGTGATGGCAAGCTACATTGTAGCCACAGCCACCCTGGGGCGCACTGACAGAGGCGAGGCTGCCGGACACTGGCGCCACCGGGCCCTCTGACCACCACCAGTAGGCAACGGGTGAAGTGTCTTGCCCAAGGACACAACGACCGAGACTGTCCAAGCCGGGGCTCGAACCGGCAACCTTCCGATTACAAGGCGAACTCCCAACTCTTTAGCCACGATCGCCCCGTTATGAATCATATCCGAGTTGCTATAGTGACATACTGCCTGTTAATTAAGACCGGTACCTATTTTTAAAAAATAAGGATGAAACCCCGGTGGCACAGTTTCATGCTGCCTCATAGCACAAAGATCCTGGGTGGAATTTTCTGTGTCATTTCACCACAATCCAGACATGCACACTAAGCTAATTGCTGATTATGATCTGAGCATTGTGTGGACCTTCTGTATTCTTTAGACATTTCATTTAGTGTATAAAAAAAGATATCAAAATAAAAGGTGTGTTTGGTATTTGACCTACAAAACAAAGTTAACCTTGTTTCTTTTGTATTTTTGGTCAAGTTGTACCATTTGGTGCTCTCATTTCGTAAGCAGCCCAGAGGACTACAGGCTTGGAAACTTAGTCTAAAGACTCTACCTTTAGACAAGTGTGGAAGAAGAAATTAGTCACTCTTGATGTCTCATACAAATATACTTTAGACAAAAACATGTTAAGCAGGGTGAAGTAAAGTAACTGAATTCATTTTTTAAGTTTGGTTGCTCTGCAGTTGATGGAGGAGGAACCAATTTGGAAGTCGCTATTTCTTTTACTCTTCATCACAAGACACAAATGCAACATAAATGTGAGGTTCAGTATATTAAGTATAACTGCTGAAGCTATATAATATAAATGCCAGTTTTGGGGGGTACTTCCTATTTTAATTTTCTTATTTGGCACATACATAATGGCACCTGTGAATTTCTCTTTAAATGCTGATGCTCTCTAAACTTTGCCTTTCTTATTGTCACTTTGGATTAAGACATGTAATACAATTCAGTGCACTAAAGCTTGTTCCATGATTCCAACTTACAATTGTACTTAGTTTGCTATGATTTTATATAGCCCTGCCTACATTAACACATTGATAAATTATTTATAGACCATTTCAATCTGTTTTACTCTGATACTAAATTACTCAAATGTTTGAAATAATAAACTTTTTCTATGACTGAAGTTTCACTCAACCCCAAGGAGTTGACTGGCTGGCCTGGAATCACTATTATCCAACACAATGCCAACGGGCATCATGCATAGGTAAAAATACAATGGTTCTTACATTTTTAATAACATACACAGTTATTACTTATACATACCAGTATTATAACCCTCATATCCCTGTAACAGTCACACCCAGAGGCTGTGCAAAAGCAACAGCAATATATATATGGTGTTCCACATTTAGGTAATTTGTTTATTTTTTTCAGCTCATCTTAAATCTTCCTGCTGCAGCCAAGACATTTTTAAAAAAGGGGCATGTTTTACTTTGCAGGCAAACTGCTTCTGTTTTCATCTTCAATTTACATTGTGTAAGTTGGATAATGGAACAACCCGAGTTGTATTACATATTTTCATCTAAAGTGACAATAACAAAGGCATAGTTTACATGTTTAGACATCATCCCCATCTGAAGAATGAATTCACAGTATACATTTGTATTTGCACAAATAGGGCAATAAAAACACAAAAAATGTCCAGAACTGACATTTCTCATCATACAACCAGCCAGTCAAAATAAAACAACTGAAAATGTGGATCTGATAATGTGACAACACAGTTAAATGTATGAATTCTTACAAAATGAATTACAAAATTATATATAAATAAGAAATTTATTTGTTGTAAGAAACGGGAGTTAAAGATGTTATAAGCTAGTAACTCCATGATAGTTAAAGTGAAACTAAATACAAACTATAGCTTCATTGAGTTGGCCTGTACAGACATAATTTAATTATTATTGTGAACATTTAGAGTGGATCACTGCAGTTCTGGATCACTGTACCATATTATCAAATATTTCTAGCATTGCATTTTGGCATTTGCAAGTAAATATTGTTCATATAAGTATTTATCTCTTAACCATGGTTGACTACATCACTTTCAGTGTTAATGTTTTGAATGTTTCTGTGAGGTTTTAGAGAATGCAACAATAAAAAAGGAATTAGCAATGATACAATTATTATTACACCATTGATGTGAAGTCTATCAGTGAGGCTGTGTAGAAGATGATTATATTTTATGCATTTAGTCAGACACTTTGGTACAAATACATTTTTTTTTATTTCACATACATAGTTTTTTACTTTTACTTTTGTTTTCACAATCTAAATGATTCAACAACAAAATGAAGAACTACCACAACAAAGTCCAAAATTCCTACTGGGGAAAATGATGCAAATGTCACTGTAGTAAAACTGACACATGTAGTTTGCCAACTAGCAAAGGTACAGTTAAAGGAATAAAAATAGACAAAATAAGACAGAAAAGTGGTTCATGTAGGTTGCTTGACCAATACTCAATGTTATGACAATCCAGCTGTTATCCTGAAAAGTTTTTGAAGACTGAATTTTGCAAAATTCTTAATACTTTCATGAATAAAATCATTTTCTTGTGCTTCTATTGATAAATGATATATATATTTATTAATATTTATTCAATTGGGGAGCAGAGGACAAATACTTAGCCATAGAAGCCCTTCTGGAATCAATGGAAACTTCAAAAGCCTGAAGAATGTACTTGTGGAACAGGGTTATAGCAATTTTAGCAAGTGCATCCCATGAATATTGCTATGAACTATTCTTTTGAACGATTATGTACATACATGTACATAATGAAGCATTACGTACACATATGAAAAATATAGAACATAGGAAATGATGTTTCATTGATTGGTGAATAAGCATGGCGCAAGACTAAACAAAGTAGGTTATAGCTTAGATACAAATTTGTAATGTACATTGTTCAACTGAGTCTGTAGATCCATCCCAAAACTGAATGATTCTGGGACATATAAATTTCAAAAAGTTGATAACTGACACTTATTTCATCCAGGTCTTCATGAGAGCAACTCATCTGAGAAGTTTTTCCAGCAGTGATAGTCATTCTAAAATCTTTTTCATTTGAGACACAGTATTCAAGAACTATATCAAGATCCACAGATTTAAGGTAATGCTCATCATTTTGTGATGCCCCAAGGTCTTTTCACTACCACTCTTCCTGTAGCAGTGAGAAGATTCAGTCATTCTGTTTTCAAAAAAATACACTGTACTTTGGGCTTTTCCACAATCCAGACTCTTAGTTCTATAAAAGAAGTCACATCATTTTCATGTTAAAACGACGAGGACCGGCTTGTCCCTCTGCTGAGTCAACATTAGTGCCGTTAGACTTTGATCGTGGCACATGTTCAACATCTATATTGTTTTTGTGTTTTCCTTTTCCCCTGCTCCAAACAAAAAGAAGCAAGAAACAAAACAAGACCACTCCCAAGAATGTGAAACAACCCATAGCTGTTGACACTAAAATAGTCTTAAGGTCAAAACCGAGGGTCACACCAGTCGTTCCATTGGCAGTGGCATTGCTGGGATCTGTGTAGTACTGGGTCCTGTTGGCATACAGTGATCCTAAACTTTTCACCGCCAATGATGTCTTCAAGGTGTCATTTCCAGCAGTGTTGGAGGCAAGGCAAAGGTACTCTCCACTGTCTTGGACTTCTGCTGCCTTGATTTCTAGTGTACCATTTTTATGGATGGTTACTCTACTATGGCTGTTTGTTAGCACTCGGCGATGTGGGGACAACCAAGACACAATTGGCCTTGGTGTCCCATCAGCACTGCAACGCAACATAGCCTGCTGACCCTCATCTACAGTAACTGTTTGTGTTTTATTTTCACGAATTTTCGGTTTGGTACATGTAACATAATAAGACAGGAGAGTCTCCTTAAACTCCTTAAAAGGGCGTCCACGAATGCCCTCAGGTGTGCTGCATTCTGGCTGTGAATCCCCAAAGAAGATGGAATGCCTCTTCTGCAGGATCCACATGAGGCGGCAATCACACACTAAGGGGTTGTTGTCAATGAGAAGAACCGCCAGAGCCTCAGGAGACTGAAAAACGCCCTTTTCCAATGTATCCAGTCGATTGTGTGAGATATTGAGAACTCTGAGACCCCGCAGACCTTGGAATGCATACTGTTCAATGGTGGTCAGCTGAGCTCCAACAATATGCAGCTCTCGCAGCCGAACCAGTTCCATCAGCATGCCCGCTTCAATGTGCCTGATGCGGTTGTAGGACAGATTGAGATGTGTCAGATAGGGAAGATGCTTCAGGGCTAGGTAAGGGAAGGTGGACAAGTTGGTGTTGGTTATAAACAGTGTTGTCAAGTTGAGGCCATGCAGGGTATTAGCTGGCACATGGTCTAGTGAAGGCCAGTTATCAATTTCTAAGTGCCGCAATCGGAATAGCTTTTTGAATGAGTATGGATGTAAAGTGCTAATGCTGAGGTATCGTAGATGCAGGCTGACCAGGTTGTGCAGATGAGAAAGAGCCTCAGTGGGTACAACTGTTAGGTTGCACCTTTCTAAGGTTAGTGTCTCCAGGCTTAAAAGTCCACTGAATGCACGGTGAGAGATGTAAACCAGGTCATTGTCACCCACTTCCAAAAACCTAAGATTGTGCAAGTCCTGGAACATATAATCCAGGAGAATGACAATCTTGTTGTCACTTATATCCAGTCGGGTAAGATTGGCTAAGCCTGTGAAGACACCCAGAGGAATAAGCTTGATTCGATTGCTTTTGAGGCTGAGCGAGTGCATGTTAAACAACCCATTGAATGCTCCAGGCTCAACATAGCTGATAATATTTCCACTGAGGTCAAGTTCCTCAAGCCCAGGGAAGGCAAAAAAGTCATCAGGGTTGATCATTGTCAGCTTGTTCTTACTTAAGTCCAGGATTCTTGTTTCAGTTGGGATGCCATCTGGGATGGTGGGCATGCGCTTACGGTGACAGACAACTGCCTTGCTTTGTGCTGAACACTCGCATCGCGAGGGACATCCCAGGGTAGAACCCACAAAAACAGCCACGAGGGCCAATCCCAGGAAAGGCTGCCAGCATGAGATGACCGTGTGCGGCATGACTTTGCTCATAAACTCGACCATTCTGTCACGGTTCTGCAAGACAAGAAAACAAAGGGAGAGAAAGCGATATATTAGCTGGTTCCTCATGATAGACTTCATTGTGTGCCTGAAGAATGAATAATGAATATTCACAAATAACATAGGAGAATTAACTATGGAGAAAACCACACAAGGTGAACATAAAAATATTTGATAAATGTAGCTCACCACATCGAAATATCAAGAATGCCTTCCTTAGCATTCTTGTGGATGCATACAGGGTGAACAATTGGGTGCTAGGCTTTGTTTTGACATCACCCACTGTTTCAATAGAAACAAAGAACTTCAGAAAAAGTTTCTTAAAAAGTTGAATGTTTTTATTGTAAATGATTTATCTATTTTTGACATGTGTATATCAGTATAGTAGTATAGTAGGTTATATATATATATATATATATTATATATATATATATATATATATTATATATATATATATATATATATATATATATATATAATAATTTATATTATATATATTTAATTTTTATATGGTTTTTTTGGTTAAGCCACATTGTTATTCGGAAATAGTAGCATTCAGAAAAAGTATCCACCCTATCTCTAAAAGGACAGAAAGAAGAAAAAGAAAGAATAAAGAATAAAAGAAACCACTCGAAAATCATGAAGTTCATGGAGGTGTAACATGGAAAAATTGAGAAACTTACAAAACTGAAACACATGAATCATTCAAAGAATATTATGAATATCATTACAAGCATTTCCTCCAAAAGAGCAGAATTTACTAATTTGTCATGTTGAATATTTTTATATTTTTTGATTTAGAAATAAAACATGTTTAAAACATGGATACTCGAGAAAAAATAATACAAAACACAACTTGCACTATATCACTGGGTGGCTTTACATATTTCGGTTATTCATACATACAGCTGTACTTATATCATAAAGCACATACAGTAGATACATGAACTAATGCCGTGTTTGCAACAAACAGACTGGGTGACAGGTTGCAAGGATTGCAAACCATTCCTGCCTCATTTGGTGTGTCATGGGCTGTGCTAAATTTAAACGATGACAGGAATAATCTGAATTTCTCCTCAGGCTTATTCTAACAGATTATGGTGCAAAGATAATATGATGACATACTTATCTAAAGAGAAGCATTATATAAACCTAAGAAATCAACTAAGATAGCTGAAATATTTCTGCTGCTGTAATATAATATTTATATGACAGGACATTTCTATATGGAGGGGGCATATATGAAAAGTAAACTTTCATATTGATATTTTAATGTTCAGTTACTATTCAAACAGTATAAAGATTTATTTTCAAGTCTAGTTTAATACAAACAGCCACGACACAGATAACTGCAGCCTTGAGAGGACTGCTGAGAAAAGTTGATTTAAGAATTTGGTGAAACAGTTCTACTCCGAGTCAGTCCCAAATGACCAAGATACTTTTCATTTTGCTAAGGGAGAGACACTCCAGAAACGTTAAAAACAATACGCTAGTTTCTGCTAATTTGTTCAGTAACTACCCAGAGTTCATGACAATCGGCCAGCGTCAGAACCTGGATCGACAGCTTCAGAATTGGCTCATTTCACCACAGCAGACCAGCACAGTGCCCACATTACTGTAAGTGCTGCACCTATCCATCCGCCAATCTCCTGCTCCACTCTTCCCCTCACTCATGAACAAATCCTCTGAGACCGTTAAAGTCCTCCACTTGGACCAGCAACTCACCCCTGGTCTGGAACGGACATGCCCCCCTTTCATAACTGAGAACCATGGCCTTATACTTGCAACAGTTTATTCTCATGCAGCAACTTCACACAGAAGTGCAAACTGCCCCAAAACTGCCTTGTTGGAGGTAACCAACAGTTAGCCATTGGGGGTCATATGATTGTTGGGGTTTTCTCTGCTTTCTCTGTATGTTTTTAACTGGAGTCCCCTGGGACCTCAAAACATTTTTGTCTAATTAAAGCAGAAAGGCAAAACACTAATGTGACATCACTAGAAACAAATTGCATTTTTAATAATGGTTGTATGACGTATGATGAAAAATATACCCCAGTCAGTAGGATGAGTTTTAATATCAAATATATCGAGTTTATCTTTTTGAATTAAATTAGAAATAAATGGAAGATGTAAATTAAAAACATTAAATAAATAATATAACTCATTTACATATTTCTTTCCTATATTTTTGCAATAAAACAGTCATTATTTCAAGATGATTTTTAGAAAAATACAACACTACAAAATGGTATATATAAACAGTATATTTAATCAAGATTATTCTTTCAATCTAAATACTAACATAGGTATCTTTTTCTCAATCTGAAAGCCCTATCAGTGTTTTAGAAGTAACTAGTAAGATTAGTAAGATTCTGAAAGTGGCTTCAGTGGCTCCATATTGTGGAGATTAATATATTTGCTTAACACATGAAAGAACCCCAGGTTGAGACAGGGAGGGGACACAAACCCCTGAAAGGGTTGCAGGTAAGGAAGCAGATGAAATAAACTGTCTTGATTATCACAAATAAAATTCAAGGATGCTCACAACTGGCTCTCCACATTAACTGAACACACAGGGCTTCTCCTAATACACACACACCTGTAACTTCTATGTTTTGTAGTTTTTTAAATTTACGCAGGATTGTCCTTTAATCCTAACTCTTAAAACCACTTAAAAATAGAGCACAATCAAAAGTAAATGAAGCCGATAATGATTTTAACATAGTAGTCAATCAATCACTTCTAGCTACAGTGGACAAAAATGACTCTCTGTACAGAACACTCTTGTTGTGCACAAATCTTTCCACATAATAGCTGGCTTATGTACTCTGGCTGTCCACATGAATTGCAGCACAATATGATTTGATGGTTTACTAAGAGGGTGTCTAATCAGGATAATGATTGGAATTCTTTGTAACAGTTCATAATCAGGATTTGAGTGAGCCTGTTATGTGACCTAGTCACCTGCACACTTCTGAATGAGAGTACCCTAGTGCATCAAGTGCATCATCAGCGGCACCCACTCAAGTGTGTCCTGCATCGGAGCAAATGCCGCATAGAATTAGGCAGATGCCCCAGGGTAGCGTCCACAAATAACATTCCAGCTATCTGTTCATTCACAGTTATTTTTTGTGTGGAACTCACTTCTGAGTGCACTGTTTATTTTTCTTTTCCTTACAATTTCCTTTATAATTTAACTGCAAACAACATATATTTAGTGTGCTGTGTGTTCTGAGCTATGTTAGAGTGATTGTGTATTTAACAAGATACAAGATACAAAATTTTCACTCTCTCACATGACAAATTTGTTCAAAAATGGTCTTTCAATAAAACCAGATTTTTTAAAAAAACAAAACAACCCAACCTTGGATTTTCAAGCATTTTCATTTTATCTCAATATTCTGGAAGCTTCCTATGACATTCACCGACAGTCCAATGGCAGAAATCCTGCAATGCACTGTGAGATAAGTCTGTACGGGGAAGGCTTTTCTATAATGTGGCCCTTGACCCACATTAGTGCAAAGTGGGATCCTGAGAGGGGGATGATAACAGCTAATGGTGTCTGACTCAGCATAAATCCATGAACAGACATTTCGCAGGGGTGCTGAGGTCACATGAGCAATGCCATCAACCCAAGCATACATACACAAATGGCCCAATGTGAAGAGCAAACTTATAATACTTTTCTTGGCTATTAAATCGTCATTTGCTCTTCCAGTATAACAAATACATGAGAAAACCTTTTTTTAGCCTATTTCTGGTAAGCTCACATCACTGAATAATTTCCATATGAATCGCTAAAAACATATGGGGCACTTCCATCCCATGTTCCCTCTTTAATTTTCAACACAGCCTCAGGCAAACTTGTGAGGGGATGAGTAGAAATGATGCCCGACTTTATCAGAGTGGCAAACCACACAGTTACACTGTTAGTTAGAATTTTATTCTTTCTTCAAAGGCTTTCTGGTCAAAAGAAATCCGTTATATTTCCTCATCATCAGCTGCACTTGTGCACGATATATAAGCTATTAGTCTTGTCAGAATAATAGTGCAACTCAGAACTCTTGACATGATGTCCAGGTAAATGAATCCTACAAGAGGTTTTATCAAAACGAGATTTGAAGGTGAGAGTGTTGCAATTGCTCCCTGGGCAGCTGACTGATGGGTAATTGCAGAATTTCTGTTTATTTTTCTTTGGTATGGTCTCACTATAACTATTTTATTTTGCTTACCCTTTTTTAGAGCATTGTCTTGTAGCATATCCATACAGACAGCATGTACAAAGTCAGAGATGGTACTATGCTGCGATCTATATCGCACATATAGTGCATATACAAAGTGCATGCAGGTGAATTTGTGTAGGTCCATCACTGAAAACACACATCTCATCAAAATGGTGATCAGATACGCTGTCCATGGTCCTGAAATCATACCAGTTTAATTTATTTAATACTTTGCTGTTTGAGTGTAATAAATCTATTTAATGCATAAACAGCACCTTAAAACTAACAAACAATTTCCAAACTCTAAGTGAAAAACGGGATGCTATTCAGAATTCCCATCCAGAATTCAGATTATTTTTAGGACAAGTATCAAAGTCGGTGTTTTCTTCCCTCAATTCTTCTCCCTATTGAGAAGATTGTAAAATTCCTGCCACAGACGGTAAACCAAAACCTAAAAATGAAGAATTGCAAGAAGTTTTGTTGTCGCCGGTATTGCTAATTTACAATTAGATGACTTGGAAATCTCTACATCTTTATCACATCTTTGTTTGGCTCTTTAGCACATGCTCTCAAATCTCAAAACGTCCCCTCTACACAGCAATAACTGCCACATTATCAAAGCCAAAAAATAAGGCAAAATAATAAGACAAAAAAAAAATGACTGCTTTGACATTAGACATTAGTACAATTAGTAATAAATTACATGTGGCGAACATTAGTAAATCAGTTTGCGCTTTGTACATACTGGCAATGCATTTTTTATGCCAGAACTAAGTTTGTTCTGGTGCAATG